TCCTTCCTTCCTTCCTTCCTTCCTTCCTTCCTTCCTTCCTTCCTTCCTTCCAGGACAAAAGTTTGTCTTGATTATCTTATATATGGATTTTTCAATAAAACTGGCTATTGTTAAGTATGTGTGGTGGGAAGCTAACTTACCATAAAATGTCACACCTGCAGGACTTTTAATATTGGGGTGGGGAGGGAACAGTGTGTATACTGCAGCCTGCTAAACATTGTTTCAAGTGACATATGGTGAATTTTAGTTTGTGATCTCCACTGCATGCAACCGTGAAAATGCTCATTACACATTTCCACACTTGATAAGAACAGCCTATGTCTGTCAGTTTCATAAACTCTCCTCTTTCCTATGTTCCAGCTACCATTCATTGCTGGAAATATTCTTAACCACTGCCATTGAGTCTTCCTAGCCTTCTTTGATATGCATTTTCATAATTCTTAATAATTGTAGAAACCCACATGGTTTGCTTTGACCTAAAGCTTAATTTGTGGTGATAATCCCATTGGGATGTTTTTCTGATTATATTTGGACCATTGAAGAGGATTGATTTGAAAGTATTTCTGGAGTGCTTCTTTTAGAATGTCTTTGAGTTGGGTTTTTTCCCCCCCTCCAAGTAACTTGTATGAAGGAGATCTATATAATGCCTGAGGTAATTTGTAAATGGGAAATATTGCTAACATCTCTAAGCATCCTGACTTTCTTTTCTTCTCTAGTTTTTTTTTTTTAAAAAAACATTGGGACTTGGGGCAGACTATTTATTAGAGTTTTGCAACAGAGTTCTTGTATGAAGCCTCTAAAAGGCTACTTGTAAAAAAAAAATTCTGACAATAAAATTCATTTTAAAAGCTCTTCTAGAAATAATGTTCTGTTTGTTTTTATTCTTTAAATTCCAATTCCTTCCATGCCATTGACATCATAATCCACAAATGTAAAAATTAAAACCATTGAGAGGCTTTCCTATATTTTCATAGAACCATAAAGTTGGACAGGACCATTTAGCCCACCAATCCAACCCATTACTAAAGTATAGGAATCCAGATTAATACATCCCAACAAATGTGTGTCTAGCGTTTGCTTGAACACATTCAGTGAAGGAGAGCCCACAATCTCTGCTGCCCCTACTAAGCTCTCTTTTAGACTCTTTTAGACATAACTGCTGCCCCTACCAAGCTCTCTTTTAATTAAACTTTTTCTAACATGCATTTGGAATTTTCCATTCTGTTCTGTGCCTTGTGGAATGTTAAAGGACTGGTTTGGACCTATGTGATATCCTTTCAGGTATTTGAAAAGTAACATATATTCCCCCTCAGTTGTCTCAAGGCTAGCAATACTTAGCTGCCTTAACTTTTCTTCATAGAACTTAATTTCTTGTCTCTGATCTCCTTCATTGCCTTTCTTTTAGTCTCCTCCACTTTCTCTGAACCCTTCTTTGGGTGTTTGTCCAGAACTGGGCACAATACTTGATGAGGGGGTCACTTAATACAGAGTAAAGTGAAATTATTCTGTGATTTGGAAGCTATACTTTTGTTGATACAGCCAAAATTTTTCCTTTTTTTGTAGTCATATAAATTTTCACCACTAGAAGGTGTTACGTTTGTTTTCTGGAGACTTGTGGGCTATGACACTAAGCTTACTAAAGAAAGAATATTCTATCTTGGGTAAATCTGCAAATATACAGAGTTGTCATCATGGAATACACTGCACCTTAGATAAGCCTGTTATAAAGTAAGAGAAACAATCAATTGGTTGATGAAATCTATCAATTGTTAATGAGCACAATGTAGTTGTGGAAAAAATCAGTTATGTGTTTTAGCAGGTATCATTTTAGAAGTAATTTCTGTTTATCACAAAAGAAGGAATGTTGCTTTTAAAGAAGGTGTTGGCTTCTTACAAGTGTTTAATATAAAAAAGAATAGACCTCTTGCCCAATTTAGGGCACAATTACAGTCAGTTAAAATGGGTTTAAGTAATGTTGTAGTTCTAGTTTTAGAGCATTGTTTTTCCTTGCATCAGAGAAATCTCTTCTCCAATCCTTTACTTCCCTCTCCCCTCTTTGAATGGAAAATTAAGGCTTTGAGAAAAGAAGGGCCTGATTTTCACTTGTCCTGTAAATGAGGAGTCAGTGGGGTAGGAAAAAAAATAAATCTAGAAAACAAGGTAGGAAAAGAAAGGGCAAAAAGTAAAACTTACAGGCTGCATCTTAAAATAGAACCTTCATCATATGAATTACATAGGCAAGCCTTGTTAAAGTGAATAAGCGTACCCTTAAACACTGTAGTAATTCCTCACAGTGGGGAGGAGAGAGGTAGAACAGGACAGGCAACTAATAAGCTTTGAAGAGTCTCTTCAGGACAATTCCTCAAACCTAACTTGTAATATGGTTGTTAATGGGAGGGGTCTCTGAGATGCCCTACTAAACTCTTTCTGGTTCACTTCTGTTTTTACTGAGGAATTACATTTTTAGAGGGCTGAAGATGGGATGTTTATGTATATGTCAGATTGCAGTGGCATAGCTTAGCAATGTTAAGAATGTGGGTAGAGAAAAGGTTGTGGAGTCCTTGGGGTTCTCTGAGCTTGGTTGTTTTCTTGCAGATGTTTTGTTACCTGGCTGGGTAACATCTTCAGTGCTAGAGGGGAGTGGGGTTTGCTCTCTGTTTATATGCAGTGGCTTGCCCTGCCAGTGTTGGTGGGGGTGGGGGTTTTGTTTTGTTTTGTTTTTGGTAGTTCCTTGATTAGATCTTTACTGCTTGATTGTTTGTTTGGTGTTAATCTCTGCTTATCTGGGTGATCATCACCCCCACACCCCCACCAACACTGGCAGGGCAAGCCACTGCATATAAACAGAGAGCAAACCCCACTCTGTTCCAGCACTGAAGATGTTACCTAGCCAGGTAACAAAATGTTTGCAAGA